TCTGCCTACGATTTTCATGTCACGTTCCAACAACAGCAAAAGGAGGAAGGTTGTGGTATGTTGCTAGATAGGAACCTGAATATACATAGAATCCCTTTAGTCGACCCCAAAATTTATTGAGACCCCAAATTTATGGGAACAAACTCATAAAGAGATAAACCAAACAACATTATGTCTTTAACTGCAGAGAAAGATACAGCAAACTAAAAGGTCACAGTAAAATCTATCCATGGCAAATGTAAAGTCCAGGAACACTATACTTAAAATTTACCCCCAAACATTGAGATGGCAATTAATTTTATTCTGGTAGTAACAAACAATCAAAATTTACTCCTGAGAAATAAAACAAAATCCCAACACTTTATCTAATCCTTCGGTTTATAAAGAGGAGAAGGTTATTGCTCTTCAATTTACAATTCACTTGTGACTGTAATTTACACTTTCTTTGATTGATCCGAGGAACGGACTGACTGAGTCCATAATTCTTACACAAGATTCTAACGTTTTGAAAGATGAATGCAATGAGAATATGCATACACTTATTCTTATTTTATGCTTACAACGACGCAAATGAAGAGGAATTGCAGAAAACACAGGAATCAAACATTATTCGTACTATAATAAGATTGGGTAGAAGATTTAGTCAAAGGTATTTAAATAAGATTGATACAAACCTTTAACTGTAAACTCCCATCTTGATTAACATAACAATTGTAGGAATGAGTCTTCCCACAATCCCAGTCAGAATACTACAACATAAGATAAGAAGTCACACTTGTCAATGGGTCTGTCCATGGATTAATTTACAATACAAATATATGATACTGATTATTAGTTTCAATATTAGCTTTTTCTAACTTCAAGAAGGAAACTATGAAATACACTACAATGTAAAGAGGAACAATTAAAAAATAAGGTAGAAAAGGTAGAAATAAAATAAACAAAGCTGTTAAAAAATGTGCAAATCAAACTTTAGCATTGATGTTGTCTGAAAACAAATATATCTGCCTTATTTCCAGATGCTCATGAAGAAGGTAGAGAACCTGTCAAAAGCCATACATATAGTCTAAGAAAACAAAGACAGAAGCTGCAATAAGAAAGACTAATTTAGTATCAACTAAGGGGGAAAACAAACTTCTCCTAATCGCCGCTCTTCATCTGTTACAAGATCTTCAACCCCTTCTGCCAGTGCAAAGGTCTC